AGAGAGGCTGCGATAGCAACACAGTGTAAGGTCTGTCTCTGCCCAAGACGTTGCTATTCTGCTATATAACCAACTTTCACTAAACTAGGTAACCTTAAACTGCAATAACTTCCCCTAACTTAAACTGATCTGTTGTAACAAAATGTAACATAAATCTTGTGAACCTGTTGAGAGAATAGGTCAAACATAGATGTAGAGAGGGAGCTGCAGAGATACTATTGTAAAATTTGTCGTGGCTTAAAACCACAATTGTTTGATGGTATGAATGCAGAATTAGGCCAAAGCCGCGTCTACTTAGGCTGATGGGTATTTAATTAACTGCTCTCTATTTGTTAATGAATGAGTCAAACTGTTAATTAACCCTAAAGAGCCCATTGCTAATTAAATGACTGGATAGCCAAGATTGCAGGCTGCTTTCTAAGGCTTCATTCTCTTCCCCTCTTGTCTGGCCCTGTCTCTTTGTGTGTGTGTGTGGGTGTGTGTGTGGGTCCTGGGTCTTGTGACTGCTCTGTAAAGTAGGTCTCCTTGTCCTCTCTGAAAGACTGTGAAGACACTAAAGTTAACTGAACTGAAAATCAGTCACGACCAAATTTTGAAGTTACTAAAACCGATCTATCAGGACTTTCATTATTGTAATCATAAGCTGTGACTAAGAGTTATGCTGTACTCAAGTCTTTATGGTAACCACGTTTGTCCTGTGTTATGAGACTGTAGTTGTCTCAAATAGACACAGGAATTTTGAATTGCTGCTGTGTGAGACTGAAGTTGTAACTAATTGTCGTAATAGTGTGTGTCATAGCTGTAGTAGTTGGGGACTATTTCCTGTATTTCTTGCCGTAGAACATCAGTAGAAGTTCCCTGTGCTTTAAAATGGGACACTGCAGGGAAACCGAGCTGCTGGAGCACTTTATCTGGGCTAAGTGCATGTGCGTTGTCTTAACTGCTGCTGCAGCGATCATCAGGTTGCGTACACACACACACACAGAGGGAGCATTTACAGTCCACTGCTTCTTCACTGCGTTGGCCTGACTGAATAGATTTATTTTTTTTGTGAGGCGTGTAAGTCAAGTCCAAGTCTATCGATAAGACAACAAAATAAACATTGCATTGAATAAGATGGTAGATGAAATTATTTGTACATAAATGAGGTTTTCCATGAGCTTTCCTGCAATGGGAGATATTTCTAGTTCCCTCCCTTCATAGAGCGCTTTGTCTCAGCTACGAACAAGAGAGCTAACGTTATGCTAGCAAGATTCAAAGTCAATAACACTGTATATGGTGGACAGACTGTAAATATAATTTGACAGTATGTTTAACAACAAGACTAGCTAGCTAACCAGCCATGTCATTGTCCCCAAATCAATATCAAGATTTTCACGAACAAACTATTAAAGTGCGTGTGTAACTAACTAGTGAATGGAATAGCGGATGGGATGATTGCTCATATAAAGTATCAGTGAGTTCAGACGGGCAGGTTAGGGGCTTGTGTGTTACAGTTGCCATCCTGTGGTGTTCAGAGGATTAAGGGAGGATAAAGAAGAGATTCAGATTTTGTTTTCATTTATTTCAACGCATTAATTTAAAACTGTAAACCGTGTGACTGCAACTACATAGTAGCTGTCCTATATCAAGAATTAATGGACACCCTGCAGCCAATCAGAATCAAATATTCACCCAGACCATGGTATAAACCTTAAGGCTGCAGTAGGTCATTTTTTGTAAAAATAATATTTTGTCCTATTTTCTGAAACTTTCACGATATCCTGACAGTGAAACAATCAGCCTCCTCTGGCTCATGCTAGTGCTCCTAATGGCATTTGCA